ATGCTCCCTTCCACTAAATATATAAAAAACTATATATTATATATAAGTGCATGTACATTTATGTTAAATGTTTTCTAAAACTGTATTACAAATGATGATCTGCAGAATATTTTTAATTAATCTCTCAATACAAACCTCTCAAGTGATTTTTACTGTAGTTTTTCTTATAATTTTAATTTAATCTGTGAAGGATAAGGCTCAGTGTTGAGTTTTATCTCTATTTTTCAGACGTTTTGACATTTTATGACCTCGTTTCTTGTCAAAATTCTGCCTAAATCCTGAACTTGTTTCTGTGTCAGGACATCCCTAACATATTTAAAGTAAAAGTAATTGTTAGATCTTTTCCAAACTGTGATAACATCAGGAGTCCTGGTTTTGCCCACTTACAAAGAATGCTTGTTTTTCCTCATCAGATGGTTATCAATTTTTATAAATTCATATGATGTGATTTTCTGGAATTTTCTTTGGGATTCTGTCTTTCACTGTTAGAATGTACATATGATTAAAGTTATAGATCGTTGCATTCTTTGTAAGTGGGCAAACCACATATATATATACATACATACATACACACATATACAAATGTATATAAACACACACACACACATACAGAAAAGCATGGACGCACACACATCTCCAAACATTGTAGGTCTATAACTTGTTCTTTTCAAGGGTAGTTGTCTGATTGGAATTGATGTAAGTTGTATTTCTTTTATATTGATATATATTTGATATATCTGATGAGGAAAAAATAAGCATTCTTTGTAAGTGGGCAAACCTGCAAAATCAGCAAGGGCTCAAATACTTATTTCCCCCACTGTATTTAAAGTGAAAGTAACCGTTAGATCTTTTCCAAACTGTGATAACATCAGGACTCTGTTCTAAATCCTATATTTCCAGAGGATTATCTTTAAAATGCTCCCTTCCACTATCCAAACACAGAAACCAGTCGGACTGGGCTGTGACAAATCAGTCGCCATTCACGGATCAAGAAAAATATCCCAAAAGCTCGATTAAAGTCTCCTCTGTTTTTTCTCTGTGTTTTAGGATAAAAAAGGGATAACGGGAAAGCCGATTCCAGCCGAGAGGAGAATCTACCAGAGACACATTCGGCCGTCCACCATGTTGGCCAAAAGCATCCTGGAAGGTAAAGAAACACAAACAAAAAGACTTTATTTAGTATTATAGTTCATATATTGTTCTTTATTCTGTCTAGTTTGACGAGTTATAACTTTTTAAAGAATACAATGAATAGAGAAGGTATAAATGAAGAAGACTGACAGTTTAAATCCTTTTATTTTGTCTTTGGTTTTTCACTTATGGAGCTTTTGTTCTTTTAGTGGATTCGAAAAGTCTTTTTAAAGAAAACAATGAATTCCGAAAGTATAAATGAAGAGGACTAACAAATTAGATAAGATAAAACACAGTGGGCAACAGTCTCATTTCGTCTTTGGTTTTATTTACTTATGGAAGCTTTTTTTTCCTTCATTGAATTTGAAATGTCTTTTTAAAGAATATAATCAATAGAGAAACTATAAATGAAGAAGACTAAC